ATGTGGTTATGGGTCATTCTTTAACAAATCGGACACCTTTTTGACGTCATGTTCTCTGATTTGGCTGAGCTCTTTTTGTGAAATAAGAAGATGTATCTCGAAAAAAAATTCCATGGGTCCATGGGAGATATGGACCCATGGGGTTTTGAGAATTGGCATTGCAGACATATTTTCAAATGGCTATAACTCAAGTTCTATAAATGATAGGAACTTGAAATTTACTGCGTTTTAAAGATAATTGATTAAACTTTTATGAAAATGTATAAACAATTAAAATTGTTAATATTTAAGTACTAATATTAACCGTTAAATTTCAAAAAAATATTTTCTCAAAACATGTACCCAAAATTTTCATTTTTTTTAATTTAATTTGGATTTAGTTTTAAATTCTATCGTAAAATAAAAATTTTCAAGATGACATTATTTTTTGAAACTTTTTAATATTTTTTTTTTTGCTCTCGCAAAACACATCAAGCACAATCGTACTTTATTTCCATTGCATGAATTTTCAAAGAATATACTACAGAAATTCTTACATATGGCTTTCGATTTTGATTTATAATAGAATTCTATATAAAATTCAAACATTTCAGAAAGATATTGTCGTTACTGGTAGTTTTTAATAATTATTTTATCCTTCACATCACACCAAACACAAACACACGATTTGTCAGTAAAAAAAACGAGGAATATGTCTCACAAATTTTTTATTCAGATTATTCAATAAATTCTACTTAAAAATTAAATATTTCCAGTGTGATATTGCTTTTAGGAGTAATTGAAAAAAATTGATTTATCTGGTACACCTGCAGTTGTGCTGTATAACTGCTTGTATGATAACACTTTCAAATAGATCGATTAATGAAAGCTTTAGATTCTTGTGGGGTTTGTAAATTAACTGAAAAAATTTTAATAATAAGTCTGAATAAAAATAAACCTAAACTAGGGAGTCTTTTAATATCTGGGTTATTTTTTAGTATTTCTCGAAAGTTCTGTTCATCTTATAGACTTTTGCTCTGCGATTGTTGGGAAACTAGTTCAATATCTCCATACGACTTCATTGAACCGAATGAGGTCCATTAGGTGCTTCTATTGATAAGTTTATCAAAAATTTTAAATTTTCCAAGTACCTTAGAAGACGTTTTCTAAGGAAGACTCACTTACTGTGCCAGTGCCTTTGCACTGTGTTTTAATAATAAAAAACATTTCACCAAGTAAGAGAGTCTTCGTTACAAATTTATATGAATTTTAATGAAATTCATATAAATATTAATATTTTGATAACTAGATATATATACCATATTTGGCTGTTACTAAGTTCTTATATGAACTGTAGTTTAGTAGCTGGCACTTTATTAAAACTTTAAAAACTTTTGTAACTATTTCTAGCACTACGAGTTCAGTTCTATACGTGGTTCTATATTTATGCTATAGTAATGTTAGATACAGATTTGTTTAGTATAACACTGATGACGTATATGGAAAACGCAAGCGTATTATCTTTAATATAGCCAAAAAATGATACTTTTTCATTAAGGGAATCTAGATATAGATTCAATAGTATGTTAAATGTTACGTTTCATCAACTTTAGAATGCAGCAGACGACAAGTTGAGATTGCTGGAGAAACGAAACATGATGGAAAAATTTTTTAATTTATCGTGCATTTTATTATTGGCAGGCATTTTTAACGATTTGCCGCCATCAACTGTGAAATCTCGGCGCGTTGAAATTTGTTGATGATGCATGCCCAGCTTTGAGTGCTTATGCCACTTGCAACTGATACGCGGATGTGTTGCAAACGAGTTCCATGTACGATCGCCACACACTCTCCCGTCTACACTTCAAGCAGATATTTTCCATGCTTGAGTATTTTCCAAACCTCACGCTTTTAATTTTTAATTTAATTTTTTTCTCTTGTAATTAGCCCAGATTTTGAGATTTGCATTAAGATATTCACTTCCATTCATTTCTTCCACTGTTCGAATTTCAACATTTTAAAATATCTTAATTGATTGAGTCTCGTCTTAGCTCAATGAATTGCTATTTTGCAGCTAATTTATCTGAAGAGGAGACAAGTCGAGAACTTAATAATGAAATAAATGCAAGTGATTTGATAAAGATTTCATTAAGTTACCCATTAGACATTGATTTTTGTGCTTTTAACAGAATGAACTTCCTGTTCAATAATGCTTGATTCCTTCGATAAAATGAAATCGTATGATTTTATATAAGATTTCGGTTTATAAACAAATATGCAATATATTTGTGGTAAATAAGAGAAAATGTACAATTTTTGAAATTTCTTTTCTTCCTTTAATGAAAGAATTTTCTTTTTCAATTAACAATCTTATAGCTTCCAAGAAATTCAATATGGTGTTATGATCTCTAATATATACAATATACTAATTAAATTCAGTGTTTGATACAAGTTTTTCTGAAATATATAAGTTTTAAAATATTTTGGATTCATATTTTGTAAACATAAACTTTGGCGTATAAGAAATAAAAAATTTTAAAAAATGAGAATTAATTTCGATTATTAAATCTCTTAAAAATGAAAAGGCAACTGGTTATGATCTCATAACTGCTGAAATCTTTAAAAATTTTCCAGATGTTGCTTTGATAATTATTACACACCTTTTAAACGCATCCTTGTTAAAAAGCTGCATCCCAGCTCAATGGAAAGTTACCAAAATAGAGATGAAATTAAAATCAAAAAACCAGCTGAAGATGTTAAATCTTATCATCCAGTATGTTTTTTTCCCATTTTCCGAAAGTGTTTGAGATACAAATCTTAAAACGTCTCATGCCAATATTTGAGTGGAAATGAATTATTCCGAATCACCAGTTTTGATTCAGAATTAATTAATTGAAAATTCTATCGTTTTATAGATTCTTATAATATTTAAATATCAAAATAAAGTTGCCTTTCTCAGATAAGTCAATTCACATAATAAATACTATTCTATACTATGCTAGTACTATTCTTAGAAATAATATATATAATATTGATATGCAAAATAAATAATAGTATAAATAGAAAACAAACTTGCTAAAATATTTTTTGCAAATATTTATGTGTCAGATTAAGTAAGTTCAACAAATGTTTAACTTTTTAATTTGCTCCAAAAGTTCAATAATCTAAAATAAATAAATATTGAGGAAATATATTTACTTTTATAATCATAAACAAAATTTGAGTTTCGATGAGTGATTCATTGTATTTCATTTGCGAATGAGACCTATTCTAACGAAAAGGGGAAAATAAAATGGACCATATCAGTAGATAGATCCTAAAGGAACTGATTTTCCAATGATATACGAGAGTCACCGTGCTGCACTTAAACTCAATAATAATAAACTCAATACTTAATAACACAATTAAAACCTTTTCGAAATGATTGAAAACATAAACAGCACTGAGACCGTAGAGGTCCATTGTACAATGAACTCCATTCTGATATTTTGCAAAAATATTCGGGAAGAAGAGGGCGTTTAGAAAACAAAAGGTGATGATATTTAAGCTTAGTAACATTCGAACTCAAACACTTTTAGTTTAAATCTTAAGCGAATGGAATAAAACCATAGAAAATGTTAGATAAAAGGTGTTGTCCGTATAATAAAATAGGTGTCTCACGTAAGCAGTATGATCACTGATTGCGCTAATTAGTAATATAAAGTTCTTGCGACATCAAGTCAGAAAAAAACCAGTAGTTGTTACACTGATTTTGGACAACTAGTGAAGACCAGTTATCGGCTTGATGTTTTAAGCCGATAAAATATCGCAGTCGATTTTTAGAATTCTAATATGCTGGAATGCATAGATAAACTGGTTGGTCGTTTCACTTTCTGATCGACATATAGCCTTCTGCTTCGTTTTACTAAAAAACCTGTAGATAAATTTGGTACATTTAGTTGGATTTGGGATTGTATATTTTGTTTAGTTTTCCCTGAAGATGACAAAATATAAACTGTTTTTAAATATAAATAATAAATTATAGTTTTTTTATTTCTATTTAAATTCACCAATTAGCCCGCTTATAAATTATTATAGTTGGGCTTATGTATTTTAATAGATCTTTTGTTCTTACACATCAACAATTTGACAACCTATCAAGAAGCTATTTCCCTTAAAATTTTTACCTTGTGTTAGCCAAGAATGAGAAGACACAGAGAAAGCGTGTGATTCTCTCTTTTTCGTACAAGTTAATGCAATTAATGTTGAATTAAGTATACAGGTTCTCTGCGTGAGATGCTATATACAAGTGATCCAAAAGCACTAAAGTATAAACAGAATAAACTGGCAGTAAAGATTTGGTTCCTGTCAATAAATTTTCTGGAGCTGCTCTTATTGTATGAATGTCAGATTAACTGTAAGGTACTACATGTTGTTGAAAAGATAACCAGAAGATCGTTGTACTTTCTGGCACAGGTTTGTATCGATCAATCGCATCGATCAGTGTTTTAGGTCAATTTTAGTTTGACTTAAGTCCACGATAATCTTCCCTAACCATATAAATATTGAAATTTTTTTTATGGCTGGTCGCAAACTTAAGGTAAAGTGATATTTGTTGTTCAAATTCTCTAAAAATATACTTGCACCGAAATTCTGTACAATTTTTGATTAAGACTGGTATGCTACCAGTGGTCATACCAGTCTTGATATTCTATGATTACAACACCAAAAGTGCAATCCAACATTAGCTATGTGCATGACAAAAGTCCTTGGCAAATTTTTCGCATTTGAGAGTGGATATCAAACCTGGTGGCAGGTGATATCACCCCAGCCATTATTTTTGTGTGGATATAGTTTTCGCAAATGCATTTTAGGCGGGTATATATGAATTCATTTGCTTACCAATGATTGCTTTTAGAAATTATCTGATATCTGTTTTGTATGTGCCGAAATATAATTAAGTTATGTTAAGTCATTAGCGTATTTTAAATAAATAATAGTAATCATAACAAAGCTTTAATAGTGACTCATCTTTTTTTCAGATTGTTCATATTATTTTTAATAATTAACGCAGTCGGAGCAGACCAGTCTACCATTGAGAGAATACGAGTAAGTTGAGATACAACATTAAAAAAACTTAACTTTTATAAGCAGTTAGAAACTATAAATATATGTACATATATAAAACCTTAATTTCAATATTCTTCTCATTGATTTTAGGACTATTATCAAACACGAAAAATTATTATTTTGAAGAAAATCTATTATTCAATTTCACTTCTCAAACAGGACTGTTAAAGTAAATAAAAAGATGAAATAATTTATGTAAAACATAAAGACCTTAAACCTGTTAGTTAGTCTGTAATGTATATGGATTAATAGAATGATTGCTACATTCGTACATATGCAATTTTCTGATAATCAGAGTAATGCTCAAAAAAAGTGCAAACTACTACTATATATATTTATTTGTTAATATAATTTAGTTTGACAGAAATTAAGATTGATTTATTATCCATAAATTAACTATGTACGAAAACGTGATCAACAATAAACAATGTTAAGGAAGCTCAAACTTAACTATTTACAAAGATGATAAAAAAATTTATAAAGATATTAATAGCGTCTTTTCCAATCGATAGTCTCAAGGTAAAAGCAGTTGGGTTAATAGGTTACTAGAATGGTTATGAAGTTCTAATAAATCCCTTTGCATGTATAATCCATGGATATCGTTAACTTCAAAAATTACTTCACAGAATATAATATATTATTAATTGAGAAATACACTATATTAAAGTAAATACATTTATTTATATATTTAAATTTGTTGCATTTATTATCAAATTGATTGAATATAATAGCATTAACATGCTGCATTTAAACACTATTTTGTTTAATACAAAATTTGAACGAATCTTGTTTTTCATTGTTTTTTTTTTTAAATTTTATTTGATTTTTATAATGCCTCAGAATAACAGTGAACAAGAATGTTCATTAACAATCTTTATGTCCCTTACCACTGGTGGGGGGAAACAATAAATGATTGGTGAGACGTTGATTTACTTTCAACAACTGATTTTATTTAAATTGATTTGTTCTTTTATACAAAATAAAATGCAACCGTAATTGCAAAACATACAATAAATAAAATAACTTATTGCTTAATTCGCATAAATTGCTTAATAAGCAATAGTTGCGAATGCTTTACTTATGACCTAATTTTTACTTTTTGTTGATTCGTCAACCAAGAAATTAAGCAACAGGTGTGAGCGATTAACTCATGACCTAGTTCTTAATTTTTTGTTGATTCGTCAACAAACAGTATAGTATTGAAATTTAACAATTAAAAATAAAAATATAATTAATTAATTAATTTAGCAAGTGAATTTGTTAAGAAATTTTCACAGCAAATTAACAAAACACCAGAAAAATTTAAAACTCAAATACGGCTTTGGATCAGTTGGTTAAGAAGCGCTGACTCTGAGCTTCAAATTTGGCAGGACTCGAGTTCGAGTTCAGTCTCAAAAAATTATTTGCGAATAATTTAATACAAGAACTATTTCCATGACCACTGATGATGGGTATTTCGGAATATTCGAAACAACTGTATGGTCAGCAAAAATAAAAGTTTATATGTGTATGGAGTTTTCATTTTTTGAACATTTTTTATAGAAATAAAAAAGTCCAAAATTTAGAATTTATCGCAAATTCGAACAACCCGAAAAATCTAGTGATTCTAATTTGTGAGCTTCTACTGTATTATTTTTTTTTTTTTTTGAGTATATTTTAGTTTGTTTTATAATGTCCTATTTATTTGAAATACATTTTATTTGGTAGTTTTTTTAACTTTTTTCTGATAGAAACTGATTTTCATCAAACTTTTTAATCGCTTTTGAGACCTTCGAATAATTGACTAAACACAAATTTCTGTATACGAAACACTATAAGTTCCATCTAGTTTCAATATGCTTTACGCAATAGGTCTCTAACATGGATGGTTTTTACTAGTTGTACTGCTATGTAAACTAGCAGATTGACTAAAATAATATTTTTTGTAGAATAACATTTAAAATATTTAGCCTTCGATTCTTCAAATCATTTTTATAATGTTCGAAAAAATGTTTGCAAGAAAACTTTTTTAACACAAGAAAAAGTAGTGGTGTGCCCGATACTGATGCACAAGCGAAAGAAACACCTGGGATGGTGTTTCAAGGATCATAAGGATTCAAGACTAGGAAACATAAGCTCTATACTGTCTTTCATTAAAGAAATCGGACTTGGAGGAACACTCTAACCTGAGTAAGGGGCACAATAGATCTTTTAGGTCGCAGTGCACGATCCCTTCTCTTAATAATAATGATAATAATAATAACAAGAAAAAATATTGTCTTATTTCGGTGCGCCGTAGTCATATATCGCGTCTGATCACAGTTTACAGTGTATCTATATTGGATATTAGCAAAAATATGTGCAAAGTTATATTTAAAGATAAACTCATAGATATTCGAATTTATATAATTTCTACTCGAATATTAATTATTTGAACAATACATAAGATTTATGTTGTCTTACGAAAAGTTTAATTATCTTCTTAATTTATAGACTTCACATTATATTACTTTCAATACCATCTTCAAATTAAAAAGCACTTAAGAGAATTTCAACACTTCTTAAGCTGCAATTAAATTTATTTAAACAAACGTTTCTCTATGAACAAATGCACTTCCACTTATCTATGCGGACCCGTACGAGTCGTTCATATGTATCAAGTATTCGTATGCTTCAAGTATTTCGGTAGCATTTTGAAGTGCAGAAGTTGTTTAAAATGAGGGTGCGCTTGTCTAAAAATGAATATATGTGAGTTATAAATTATTTGGGTCTTACAGTGAAGATAAATTTACCAAGCATTTACTCTAATAAAAAAATAAAATACATTTCATAAGGTTTAAAATTTAATGTTTACTTACTTGTTATTATTTGTGTATATGCGTATGTTACAGATATATTGTTATATATGGTATGAATCATATATAAATAAACATATATTGTACAATATATAATCTGGGTAGAATTAGAAGTTATTTTTAGGGAATACCAGTAACATAGCATCATTGCAGGTAAGCAACTCTTCCTCTTTATACCATTTTATACGAACAACAATTTAATTATGAAAATATTATGACTTCTTAATACTATGTTCACACAGTCATTTTTTAATTTCGTAAAAATGAAATTTAGTTAATTTCGAAAGTGTTCATACTGCCCCTAATAAAGGAAACAATATGTTTTTTGTTTACAAATCGAATATTAGAAATTACATGCTCAAAACACCATCTGTATCTGGGAAATTTCAAAAATTGATTATTATAACTATAAAGGATGGATAGTTTTATTATCTTTAGTGGATTTCAGGTATGTGAGTTATTATTTTTCTCTACATTTTTAATTAATAACAGTTACAGTTTTTTTTCTATATGCAATTTAAAAATTTGCTCTGCTTTTAAAATAATTTCCCACTTTTATTACAGTCAACTCTTACTAACATTTATTTAAAAAAAAAGTCTCACTCAACCTTAATTTTTCCCTAAAATTTATCCAACGCATAGTTGCATTTGAAATGTCCATTAATTTCAACCTTCGCTTCAACGAAATTAAGGCCATTTTTCTTAATTTCGTTCTAACCTTATAACTGAGTTTTGTATGGAAAATAAACTTAATTTCGTTGAAATGAATATGAAATTAAGATTTTTGCGAAATTAAGATGTGTCTGAATATAGTATAAGTTTCATTTAGTAAAAATCTTAATTTTTTCTTAATAAGTAATAAAGAAAGATTTTATTAAATACGAAGTTTAATCTTAGGTTCTGGAATAAAGCAAAACGGTTTGTCGCATTTATTTAGAATGAGGATGGTTTATTTTATTTTATTTTAATGGTTTATTTATTGAATCTTTCTAAATAGAAATTAACAATAATATTTTGCGAATCTTAAAAAACTTACAAATATGCTATTTAGCTAAGGTATTCATATTTATCAACGATTTTCTATTAAGGCGATTTAGTGCAGTTACAGAAGATACATGTCGAAGATAAGGATTTTTATGTGACTTGAGAGTCTCTTGAAATTTAAGTGCATATTGGCCAATAACTTCTTCAAAAGTTAATATATTTAGATCTTTCTGCGCGATTTTTGATTTTGGCATACCCCGAAGCGTACGTAGCTTCTCGGAAAATTTTATTTTGTACTCTTTGGATTTTTTCTATATTTCTGTGACACGCTGAACAACACAGTTCTATAGCAGACCTATGGTCTTTAATACTGATTTGTATTGATTAACAATTTATTGTCGAGCCTGAGTTTAGAGTTGTAATTTAAGATTTAATTAGCACCTTTTGGCTTCAATATGTCTTGTCTACGTATATAAGTTTTTTATCTAAATGAATTTTCAGATATGTCACAGAATGTAATTAAGGTATTTCCACATTATTGATTTTAACTGCAGGGCATGTTTCTTTCCATAGAGTTATTTAAATGCATTTAGTTTCATTCCCCTTGATTTTTCATTTAGCAATTCACTTTTTATTAATATGACTGGATAAATTTTGTGTTGCTATAGTGCAATCACAGTCGATAATGACTATAGTAGTGTCGTCAGCAAATTATTTGGGTGTTGTAGAATATCGACTGTGTAGATTAAGTACAGAAACGGCCCAAGGACATTATTCTGCCATACAAAATAGTTTTGAATGTAAAGGTGCGTATATTTAGCCATTCTAATGACTTGCTAAATTTTTCTATACCTTTGGCGAAAATGATGGTCCGGAATTAAGCTTTCTATTGGTGAGGAAATCAGGTGTAGTGTAGTGCAAGAGTAGTTCTTTTTTCTTCATCGCTACGAGCCCAGGAGCCATCTTGTATGTGTATAGGAGGTTCCCTTTGAATTGGAGCTTTACATTTCTTTATAGCTTTCCATAAGGAGTAATTATGTTCTTTTTGTGAGCCAAGGCTTTCTAGATATTTTTGAATGGAACCGTTTTTTTTCTTATCAAGTGCTTTTCTCAGGGTTTTAGTCGCTACATCGAGGTTGAGTTTAAGTCTGGGAGACCGAT